CCAGGCCAGGTACGTAATTTGGGGCTGACTTAAACATACCAATGGGATTAGGCAAGTCACACCATCTTCTTCTCAGAGATTTTTCAAAGTCAGGGTCCATACCAAACAGATCCCATATCAGTACATAAATCAAGGGGCTTGAATGCAGAAACTTAGGAACATGGTGAGGTTGGGGCTACGAAGTCAGACAGGGGAGCCAGAGATTTGCAACATCTGGAAGCTGCAGACTCCCTCCCCAATCCTACAGCTATGGCTACCCCACAGACCTGAGACTGAGCTCCAAAACCCACCCACCTGCTCTGCCCATCTGCATGGGACATCCATGACTCAGAACACAGTCATGTCTGGCTCAGTTGCATTCCCGAAGTGCCCTCTGAATTCAGGGGGCTGTCAATGAGTGAATGCAGCCAAACCTGGGCCACATATTGCTCTAGAACTACACACACCCTCTCTCACGACCCTCCCCTCTCCTCCCTGCTCAGGGCAAGTTCATCCGGATCCACTTCGGAACTACAGGCAAACTGGCTGGAGCTGACAGCGAGAGCTGTGAGTTAGGCCCTTTCGGCGGGTTCTTCTAGGCAGGACCAGCTCCATAATGCGTGGGGCTCAGTGCAAAGTGATAACGAGGGACCCCCTATTGAAAAAGTATTAAGAATTCCAAACGAGCGACAGAGGAAGGTTACATCAAGCGCGGCCCTTCTGAGCATAGCCTGCCTCATGCCCAGCCTGTCTGGCCTCCACCAGCAGTCAGGCCAAAGACCACAGTTAGCCCGGCCAGTGCTTACCTGCGCAACAACACCACGCTACCCCTGCGCTGTGTGTCTGGGGGAGAGGGAAGAATGAACCCATGACTGGCACTAGGCTTTACAGGAAGGAACCCTGCACCCCAGGCAGAATGGGATGAACTTACAGGCGTTTTGTCTCTTCTCTTCCAGATCTCTTAGAGAAATCTCGTGTCATCTCACAGCAAGCAGCTGAGAGGGGCTACCACATTTTCTACCAGATTCTCTCTAACAAGAAGCCTGAGCTTATTGGTAAAGATCTTTATGTCTGTCCGCCTTCCCCTTAACTCATTTCTCCTCTTTTTTCAATATTGAAAAAAATCCCATGTGCGGAGCCATGGTTCTGTCTGAATCTCAATACTTTAGAATAATGTGAGTAGGTTACAGGAAACTTTCTCCAAGTTCCACTCACAGCTCATCTGCACAACAGCCTAATGAGGCTGAACTTCACTGTTGGCTCATTTCACAGATGGGGCTTTGGGATGCCTCAAGCTCATGGCTGAGACACAGACCTGGGATATGGAGCTTTAGACCCCTTGTATCTTGGACCGGCTGCCTCTGGGATCAATACTCAGACAGCAGCAGAGAGACCAGCCAAAGACCACAGTTAGCCCAGCCAGTGCTTACCTGAGCAATAACAACACGCTACCCTCTGGGGAGACACAGCTCACTCTGCGTGCACTGCTCACCAAGCAGGGTCCTTTCATCCACGCGGCCGGATGCCCTTGGACAGGCACCAGCATGCTTGATTGTCCTTGGCAGACCTGCATGGGATGTAAAGGGTGGGACATAGGGATGAAGATTCAATCTTCCATATACACACTCCTGACCCAGCCGGAGACTAGGGCATTGGACACCATCCCCACCCACAGGTGGGCTTTATTTGTGTTCAACACAGTGTACTTTTAATTTATGGATGGCATTTTGATATTGCAGACTTCACATAAAAATCCAATTTCCTGGCTTCTCTGGAGTAGCAGAGGATCTGGTAGCTATGGGCCTGCTCTCCCATGTGGTGCTAATCAGGACAGCTGAATAGTGGTGGCCTGGATGCAGCTCAGGCTCTCTTGTTTACCACACTCGCCACCAAGCCCTAGTGCCTCTCTGGTGCAGAGTAGTGCCTCCATTTATCTTCATTCTTGAGCTGTAGTTTTTCTTGATAGTAGAGGTGAAAGAAAGGGCAACCATTCCTTACGAGTATGACTCTTCCAAAAGTGAAAAAACAAAGACCAAGAGGGACACACATTTGAAAAAAAATAAAAGGATATTTCTTTGTGAAAACAACAATGTCCCATACATATTATATGAAGTGATTATTACTGCCCAATGATGTGTTCCCTTTTGCCTTAGAGTCTGACCTCTTTATAGGAAAGAGGAAGGAGAAAAATATGAATTCACTTATTCCAAAAATATCTATTGGGTGCATACTAGGTTCCAGGTACCAGGCCAAGAGACAGAGGACATGACCAAGTCCTTGAAACACTCTTTCCACTCTCAAGCTCCTCATGTGACCCTGTTCAAGTCCCTCCATGACTCAGGGTGATCCCAGAGGGAAGGGATCATGTCTTATTCAGCTCTGCAGCCCCCATGATGCCCACCATCACACCTGGCACATGACAGGCATTTAGAGATATTGGTTTAAAATGAAAGAGAAGAAAGGCATGTGTCACCAAGCTATTAATTCACTTTCCTGCTCTTGGCAGAAACTTTGCTGCTGGTCCCTAACCCTAAGGAGTACCACTGGGTGAGCCAGGGCGTCACCATGGTAGAAAACATGGACGACGGGGAGGAGCTGCAGATCACAGATGTAAGTGGGTGGATGTGGCCGATGAAAGACAAAGAGACTCAAGATGGATGGATGCTTTGGGGGCTTACATGCACTGCCATCAGAATTGGGGTGGGGGCCTAAGAGTTGTCAGGCAACAGCCCAGATTCTTCCTGGGAGATTTCTGGGGTGCAATTAGCATTCCTCCAAGGGTGTCCTAGCATGCAGAGTTTCTCTCTGCAGTATTGAACTAGAATTCCATAGGAACCTTAGGGGCCATGTGCTCCAGGCATTTGTTTTCCTTTTCTCAGTCCCTCTGGGTGTTCCTACTACACCCTCTCTTTTTCCTGCTCTTATGGCACCTGTGACTTCTGTTAGTAGGATTTGTGTAATCTCTCCTGTTAGACAACACAATTGATTCCTGATGCATCTTCGCCTTCTCTTCTCCCAATACCTAACAATAATAATGATGGAAATACTACTACTACTACTTCCCAGTTATTGTTATATGTCAAGCACTGGACTAAACATTTATACATCATTCTGATTTATCCTTCTGATGACCTATCTACATTTTGTAGATGACTAAACTGAGACCAGAAAAGTTAAACGAATGCAGTGACTATATTGCAGAGCATCTGGTCTGGGTTCCTGGCAGAAAAACAGGCCTCCCTGCCAGGGTGTGTGTGACCTCCAGAATCCACACCACAGTGCGGTGGCAGTGTTGTGGCCTCCACTCTGGAATGAGAAGTCAGGAGGTTCTTGGCTTTCTCTTCCCTGTGGCCTTGCAGGTTGCCTTTGACGTGTTAGGCTTCAGCGCCGAAGAGAAGCTCGGCGTTTATAAGCTGACTGGGGGCATCATGCACTTTGGCAACATGAAGTTCAAGCAGAAGCCCAGAGAGGAGCAAGCTGAAGTGGACACCACAGAGGGTAGGTGTTGGGCTGGGGCCAACCTGGGAGAACACAGCCAGTGGCAGGGGTTCACTGCTCCCCAGGGCTTCATGCACATTTCAAAGATAAGCTGTAAAGCAAGAATGTTCCTTGAATGTCCATACAATGATATTCTCAGAGAGAAATGACAGAGAATCAGAGATATGATTTTGGTTTCTATACTCTGCTTTGCCACTTGACCTTGAGGGAATGTGGAAACCATCTCAGACGTCTACTTTTTCATTGGCAACATGGGGTCTCCTCCACTCTCCCCTCACCCACTACTCCATCAAAATAGACCATACTAAGTTTTGCCATTCAGGGCACCATCTTTCTTTCACTCACCTGTTTTTTTCCATCCCTGCTCAGTGGCTGACAAAGTCGCCCATCTCATGGGTCTCAATTCCGGGGAACTCCAGAAGGGTATCACCAGGCCTCGGGTCAAAGTAACGAGTTTGTGCAAAAAGGCCAGAACATGGAACAATGCACAACTCCATTGGGGCACTGGGCAAGGCTGTCTACGACAAGATGTTCAAGTGGCTGGTGGTCAGGATCAACAAGACCTTGGACACAAAGATGCAGAGGCAGTTCTTCATTGGGGTGCTGGACATTGCTGGCTTTGAGATCTTTGAGGTGCTTGACCTTACCTTTTGTCTCTCCTCTTACAAGCTACTTTTCACCACAGTTCTCGTTTCTCATCTTGAAGTGGGAATGAGCCAATCTCAGTTTGTTCCTGGGTCTCTGACTTTTGGCCTTCAGAAAATTTCACCTTCGTTTGCCTAGTCATAAAGAATGATAATGGATAGAATGAGTGGTGTGCTGGAGCTGGCCTGTACTGGCTTACAAGAACTGATTGTTAAATTTTCTGGAATTTTGTGAGCCAGTTGACATCATGTTGATAAATGGCCCTGGTGTGAGTATTTTTACCATGGAAATTGGCCAACATTACAATTCTTTGGAGAGAGGGGAAAGAGTTGATTTACCAGTACAACGTTGGTGGCCTCCCACTTCTTGCCCACAGAAATGAGACTCAGTTCTCGTCAAAAGACTTGTGTTGCGGGGTCAAGAGGGGTTTGCCTTTATAATTGGAAGTGGCATGATTAGGAGCCAGTAGACTTCTTCTGGACTCGGGTTGGCCATCAACTAGTTTGTGTGGCCTTAAATAATTTCCATCCCTGGGAAGAAAATGGTTCTTTCCACAAAGATTTTTGTTAACTACACTGGGCCAGAGTCTGGCTGTCTAGGTTTTGGTCCTGGCAGCAGCACTGTGTGGCCAGGGGCACGTACTTAAGTTGCTCTGTCTTTGCAGGGAGGGTAACAGAGAAGGGCTTCTCACAAGACTGATGGGGCCACTGACGAGGTGGTCGGTGTTAAGGCATTTGGGACAGTGCTCAACACGGGTTGGCTGTTGGCAGATTTTAGCTGTTTGTGGCTCATCACTTGGCTCTGGGAAAGGCTCTGTCAGTGTCTGGGCTGAGACCCCTCTTTCTGTTCTCCTGCTGCAGTTCAACAGCTTCGAACAGCTGTGCATCAACTTCACCAATGAGAAGCTGCAACAGTTCTTCAACCACCACATGTTCGTGCTGGAGCAGGAGGAGTACAAGAGGGAGGGCATTGAATGGGTCTTCATAGATTTTGGCCTCGACCTGCAGGCCTGCATCAACCTCCTGGAAAAGGTAAACTGCTTCTCAAAGGAGGGGCTTGGAGAGAGACCGGGGCCCTGACCGGGGCTCACATCAGGAGGGAATTTCACTGGGGTCTGCAGGGAGGCAAAACCTAGATTCAGGGTGGTCAGCAACACTGCTGATGACCTTGGTCAGTCTGACCTTTAGATTCTTCCCTGCAAAATGGGTACAACAGTGACTGCAGTGACCACGGTTAGTTGGGCTGTTGTTTGCCTTAACCCATTAGATCATCACAAGCTACCATATATGCAGGATAAATTATTATAACCATTTCACAAATGACAACATTGAGGCACAGAGAAGGGAAGTCACTTGTCCAAGGTCATACAACCTATGAGTGGCAAAGTCAGGCTCTCCCCCAGGCAATCTAATAATCTCTCCTGTAATCACACCATAGAGATTTTGGTGGTTTATCAAATGGCTTAGTTCAAGAATAGATACTGTTAGATTAAATTTGGAAAAGGGATAGAAAAAGAACATTAAGAGGACAGATGACCAAATTTGAACAAAGTCTGTTCATAGTATTACACCAATGTTAATTTCCAATGTTTTCATTATTGTACAAAGTAATAATGTTACTATTTGGGGAAGTTGAAGGAAGGGTATATAGGAATGCTTTACATTGTTTTTGCAAGCCTGAAATTATATCAAAGTGAAAAGTTAAAAAATGAAAAAAGAATGAACATATCTTGTCTCTTAGGCTCATCCTTAGGCCCATCATAGAGAACCTCTATCATCAAGATAGCCAGGGGTCTCTGGTATGGGCTCAGCATTAACCCTCCAGGAAAAGAGTCTCCAAAACCAGGCTGCATGCATGACTCACCCATCCCCCAGCACCTGCAAATATCTCCCTGTCCCTCTGCCACAAAGCTTGGGACGTTCTCATGCTTGAGCTTTGGGGTTAAGCACTACTGTCTTCCGAAGTCTTCTTTTAAAATCCAGACCTTCCATGGAAGGGGGAATATTAAAGCACTCATACATTTATGAGCTCCCCTTTTTTTGTGTGAGAAGAGACCTAGAACGACATGAGGCCCCTGAGTAACCAGGAATGTCACTGAGGGAGTGGAGGAGATAAAAGCAGATAAATTAAACCCAGAAAGGTCAGGCGTTATTGATCTCACCCTTTCTGAGGGCCAACCCTGCCTGGCACCAGTTTGGGTGGAGTTAACATGTGGAGAGCCATCTGCTCCCTTCAGACTTCAGTCTTCCCTTCTGTTGGGTTACATGAACTCTAGCCTCTTTCAAGTCTAAGAGGTCATGGCATTTGAAGACCAGACCGTGGAGAACCAGGCACCATTCCCAGAGTTCTGCTTCCTGGCCACATGGGTGTGTGGGGCAGCCCTCCCACCAACCCCAGGCCAACGCCAAAGTGTCCCCTTTGTGATCCTGTGGCCTCCTCTAATGCCATCTACTCCTCTTCTCTTCTAGCCCATGGGCATCTTCTCCATCTTGGAGGAGCAGTGCGTCTTCCCCAAGGCCACCTATGCTACATTCAAGGCAGCCCTCTACGACAATCACCTGGGCAAGTCCAATAACTTCCTCAAACCCAAGGGAGGAAAGGGCAAGGGGCCTGAGGCCCACTTTGAGCTCGTCCACTATGCAGGCACGGTAAGTATTACCCTGTGGCGACCTGCTGGCTGCTGTTCCCTCTTGTTATTACAGGTCCATTCTGATACACTCCTCCAGAGGCTTCCTGCCTCCAACTACTACAGCCACAATAGAATAGGGTGATCAGCTCATTGACGTGAACTCCAGCTCATAGTCCCTCATCACTTCTTCAACTGAAAATTCAAAAAATATCCAGCCTAGGATGCCTGCTAGGGGGCAACCAACAGTTTTGCCCTTAGAACTGCCAGGGCCACACCATTGTCTATAGCCCTTGGTTTGACAGCTGAACTTCAGTCTTTGTCAGAAATGAGAACACTAGGGGGAAAAATTCCATGAGCCCATTAATTATTCCTCAAATGATTAACTTACCTCTCTGACAGCTTGTGGCTGCCAAACGTAGAAGATGACATTTACAGAGTGGCTTTTCACTCATGACAAACTCAGTCCTTGGGGAAGGGGGAAATTAAGTGCAAGTAGGACTCTATTTGATTCCATTTGATTAATTGATAGGAAAGACAACATTAGTCCATCCAGCTTGTAAGAATGTATTTGGCTTCCTTGATATTTCAGTATTGCCACAAATGCCAATGTTCCTGTTACCACAAGAGTTTATTGGCCCTCCTTGAGTTTAACTGCAGGGAAATAGCAGCCTTAGGACAGAGCCATCAGGAAAGCTGCTGTTGGATTGAGCATTGGTACCAAGATTTTATAATCTCATCAACCATAACAATGTCAATTACTGGAAAAATGAATAGTGCTGACACCTAGAACAAACAGTAGGGTTGGGGCCAAATGCAGTGCTCTACCCATCTCTCATACTGAAATGAGGAGTGATGTAATATTTATAGCAATGGAATATTCTAAGTCAAATGGGGGTGCTGTGCTTCCAAGAAGGCTTTAAAATAAAGCCCAGAGATTACAAACATCTATGCACTATGTAGGAGATGAAAAGCCCAAAGGTTTGAGCTTCTCATCTGCTCCCTTGATTCTTGGTAATCAATGAAGGGATCTGAAAGGCTCCTTCCTCTTTGCCTTTCCAGTTGGTGCCACAGACAAATGGAAAACAGAAATTTGTGGGTGTCCAATTATCTGGACACATAGAGCCCCAAGTTCTGAATGAATGCCCCCCTCCCCCCAATTCCACCAGGCAATGGCCCAGGGGATATGTGCTCCTCAGCAAGGAGAGACCAAATGCCCTCGTAGGGAATTGTCCACTGGTCAAGGCCAGTCACTGACAGCAAGATTAGCTCACCTGAGTGGAAGAAGACCCAGGGGTCAGGGAGGCTCAGTGTGGTCAGCAAAGCAAGGCATGCAAGAGAAGGTCACAGCCCCATAGAGAGCAGCTGGGAGTTCTGGTTTGTGGGCAAAGCCCAGAGGTGGAGTGTCCTAGACAGGTAAACTCCAAATGCCCAAGAAACTAGATGATGGGGCCTTTACCTGGGACATCCCAGGACTCCAGGAAAGTCATCAGGACAAGAATGGAAGCACCAAAAGATGGGAGATTGGTCTTGTGAACTGAGAGCAGGTGAAGCTGTAGATAGAAATGTAACCACTGGCATTTACCCCTTCCCAGGTGGGTTACAACATCACGGGCTGGCTGGAAAAGAACAAAGACCCCCTGAATGAAACAGTGGTGGGCTTGTTCCAGAAATCAACACTGTCAATCCTGGCCCTTCTCTTCAAAGAAGAGGAGGCTCCAGGTATGGCTAAAGCCTTGTTGTGTCCAGTCTCCCTGTGCTGGTGAATTTTAGTGGCCAAAATGGAAAGAAAGAAACAAAACAATTTATTGAGCTCTTGTTGGATTGTTGGATGGATGACATGTTGCTTGAGGTAGGCCATGGAGGACGCTGCCATAGAGGGATGCAGATGCATCCTGGGAGCCTCCATCAACTGAATTGATCACTGGGTCCATATCACCTCTAGACAGAACAAACAATACTGCTTTGGAAAAGTTGATGCCCAAAAGCTCTGTGCTTATTTTCTGCTTCCTGCTCACCTTTGTCTGAGGCAAATGCCAAGCCCAGCCTTGCCTCCAACTCAGTCCAGGTTGTGTGACCCATAGGGGAATACCCTGGGTGAGAGCTGCCCAATGGGGCTGCCACTCAGTGGGGCAAGAGCTGCAAATCTCCTCCAGCTCAGAGATGTTTTCACCACAAACTCGCAATTCTCCAGATAGTCTGTGGGCTCTTCCTCCTCCCCAGTCAATGGAAGTAGTTTGTCTCCTTGTGCCAGCCCTAAATCAGGGAACAGGGCACTCCTTTTGGCAGTAATGCCACAGTCAGCCCATTAGCCCACTCCCTGGTAGGTCTTATTTTCCTGGGGGGAAGGCCTCACCTTACCTAGGCCCCCAAAAAACTTTTTAAAGCCAGAGAATGAATGTCCTTGAGGCAGCCCTCCATGCTGGGTGCTGATGTGAAACAAGTTTGTCTCCCTCAGCTGGAGGCAAGAAGCAGAAGAGAGGTTCCTCCTTCATGACAGTCTCCAACTTCTACAGGGTGAGTAGGGGCTGCCCCACAGGACACCTTGCATTCAGTTCAGTGCACCTACCTCCCTCCTTTCAATGGTATGGTGGTCTGGCTGCCACCTCACAACCAAGGACAGGATGATTTCATTTCTATGACTATGGTTGCCTCTTGCATTCAAGGAGTCTGTTTCTTCTGAAAGGGTCACAGAATTAAAGGAATGTAGAGCAGAAAAGACCCTATCTCTAGGACACAAGAGCTTCCCACACTCAGGAGAGGTAGTTATTTAGAGTTGATGTCCTGCAGCACCAACACCAAACTTTACTCACTGTTTTTCTTTTTCCTTCATCGCCAGGAGCAGTTGAACAAGCTGATGACCACCCTCCATAGCACTGCCCCTCATTTTGTCCGCTGTATTGTCCCCAATGAGTTTAAGCAATCAGGTACATCATGTGAACATGTCTCCCTGCTGGAAGTTCTCAGGGTCTGTGAATTTGGTGTTTGCTCCAAATTAAGTCCCCTTTCAATAACCAGGGATGATTGGGGCTAAATGGCACATGAATACATCTCCAACAATGGATCATTGTCTTCTAGCTGCTTTGTACAACAGAGTGGTGCCCACCCCGACAGAAGTTACACTCAGGAGAGCCTTTGGGTCTTTGCAGATTTGTGGGGGAGCAGGGATCCCTGGGCAGTGACAGGAGGAGACTGGGGTTGATGACATGGATACTCAGTTCAGCCTTCTTGAGTTCCAAAGAGTGGCCTGTCCCACCATAGGCTAGTGACTCCCCATCCTGTGCCCTCCCTCTTGGCAGGTGTGGTGGATGCCCACCTAATCATGCATCAGCTGGCTTGCAATGGAGTCCTGGAAGGTATCCATATTTGCAGAAAGGGTTTCCCAAACAGGCTGCAATACCCAGAGTTCAAACAGAGGTGAGTGAGTGGTGTCTTCCTGAAACTTTAAATACAGTTCTTGATTTCCAGAGATTGATTATTGATAAATATAATCCTATTGTCACAGACACTATGAGTACTATGATATATGCTGCCTCACTATCATTACTTCAGTACACATTGGCCCAACGTTCAACAGCCAACACCTGCATTTTTTTGCCTGAGAGAGCTTTCTCTGGCTGCTGGAGCCTGCTTTGCTACTTGGCAGGCTGAAAGTATCAGAAATGAATGCCTCCCCAGGAACAGCTTTCAAACAATGACTAAGGAGAGTTGGTGTATAAATATTTCAGCTCCCTTACATTTCTGGTGGGCTAAGTCTGAGGTGTGTCCTATACTGGCTGTCAGATCAGAAAGTAGCACCTGGTAAATGTTTAACAATGGGCTCTCCAGGTTTAAAAAAAAAAAAAGGAAACTCTGATCTGTAGTGTCTGCCTGTTTCCATGGTGTAAACACTCCCACCATGGCTGATTTTGAGCTACCAGTGTGGCATCACTGAATGTGGAGTTGAGAAAAGATGAACACTATTCCCTCTTGTGAGCCAGTAGGTGCAGGTTCCAGCTTACCAATGCTCCTACTGTCCCCAGCACAATTAAGACCCAGTTGCCTATTGTTATCACTAGCTTGATAGTATGCCTTTTATTTGCTTCTCAACCCAATTCCCAACTCTGCCACTTCCCAGTTAACTACTTGCACTTGAATCCTGCTCTCGGGGTCTGCTTCTGGGGGGGCCCAAACCAAGACCCCATCTTTGGGATTATTTTACTCCTCCCTCTCTACTTGCTAGAACAGATTGATGGAGTAGGAAGGGTCACCTGAGGTCATCTTGTCCAAGTCATCTGAAGTCCCTAATTGGGGAAGGCCTTGTCCAAGATCACAAAGGGGGCTGCTTGCAGGTCAGGAAAAAAAGTTTCTGCCTGGAAGAAAAGAGTTTGGTGTCCCCATTTCTACAAACACCTCCCCCTGAAACCCCAACCCATACTGACATTTAGTCCACAAAGTCTCCTGTCAGACCCATCCCTCTGCCTGCTGTGGCATCTGTAAAAGAAGTCTATTCCCTAACTCAAGGGCCATGTCATAGATCAAGGGATAGCTGCATGGACGAGCTTTCATGCTGCCAGCTTGGAGATGCTGATGCCTGGATTAATGTTGTCACCCTCTCCTGACAGGTACCAAGTGCTGAACCCCAATGTGATTCCTCAGGGATTTGTAGACAACAAGAAGGTCTCAGAGCTGTTGCTTGGGTCCATTGACCTGGATGTAAATGAATACAAAATCGGACATACCAAGGTAGGGTCTCTCAGTGGTGCACCCTCCCTACCAACAATCAGCCTTGTTTTAAGAAGGTGAGCTTCAAGGTGTGAATTCCAGCTCTACCACTGGCCAGTTGCCTGTTTTGCACAAGTCTCTCAGCTAATGAGAGCCTCAGTTTCCTCCTCTGAAAAGTCAGGGGTCATAAGATCAGTCTCATGGGAGTTGGGGGTGATTAGAAGAAAAGTACATGAGAATCCAGGTCAGACAGAATGCTACTCAGTAAATGGTAGGATATTTCTTAGGATTGTATGAGCCCCAGATTTCTAAAAATAAAAGGAACCCGTCAGAATCAAGGTCCTGGATTTGACCAGGGCACAGCAGTAAATGTGTGGTTGGGGTCTTCAGGTTAAGCACCATAATCCCAGCCCACCCACACCAAGAGGCCCAGCCCTGAGCTGTCAGGTAATTCAAGGTTGCCTCAGATGGGGCAGCCACCTGATTCTGACTCACAGGGCCTGGGCTGTCCTTTGTCTGTCCCACTTCCTGGCCCCACAGGATCCTGTCAGGATTGTTAGGGCCATCCAAGCTGACAGTGCAAGATGTCCATCTATAGCTATCCAACTAGACTGTACCCAACATGACAGCCAGCGTGACATGGCACTGGCTTTACAGTCAAGAATGTCAGGCTCATAGTCTGCCTCTGTGCAGCATGGAGCAGGTGACTTACCTCTCCTGGTCTCATGGGTGGCACAGCTTCTCCACAGGCCTGGTGTGGCTTGATGCATGTGAAAGCTCCAGCACAGGTATGTATCCAATACATCTGGTCATTCGGCAAATGCTCAGGGAGTTCCTCCTGTGTACCGGGCATATTTCTCAGCTCTAAGGTTAAACCAATGAACAGAGGAGGCATCCTTAGCTCCCTAGAGCTTGCTTTGTAGCAGTGGATATTAGCAGAATTGTAATACTGCTCCAGAATCTGCCAGAACTGTTAGCTTTGGCCTCCTTCACAATTAATATGTGCTAGGTGTAGCTAAATTGACTTACAGGAACACTCCAGATTTTGTCATAGAATCATTAAATACTTGAGCTGGAGAGAGCCTCAAAGACAAGCTCCTTCCCCTACCCCACATTTGACAGATGGGAAACAAGAAAGCCTGGAGGTGGGGTGGAGATGACATACCCAATGTCATAGAACTAGGCAGGACAGAGCAGGCTTCAGGCCTTACAATTGTTGGTCGTGTGACCTGGAAAACTGGGGCTAACATCACCAGTATGACACAGTCTGACACAGCTGCCGCCTGAGCAAACATACTGCATCTTGCTATTATTCAAGGGTTGCACTGGACACTTCAGGTCCAGGTAAAGGCCCGGAGGTGCTGGGGACAGCTCTGCTCTCTGAGGATCAGGCAGACTCTGGTGGCTAGGGCAGAGCAGAGAACAGGGTGATTCTGCCTATACACCCTTATCCCTAATGTTGGCCCATGTGGGCCCCATTTCCTAGCCATATGCTCACTCCACTGCCCCTCAAAGACCAAACTTCAGTGCCAATTAATTTTGAAATATGAAATATTTTACCCCGTGGTGTTCAGCTCCCTGGGGTTTTTTGGTGGGAGAGGGGAACAGTGGTAAAAGGGATTATTCTTTTCTATTCTTTTCTTGTCTGTGTCCATAGCCTCCACATAAAGGATTTAATTAGGGCTCTACTCCCTCCCCCCACATATAGAATCACAGACTCTCAGATCTGGGAGGCCTTTAGGGTCCTACACTACCACTGGGTGGGAGAAGAGACCGAGGCCCCTCCAAAGGAGAGTGACTTGACCAAAGTCACATGGATATCCAAGGCAGGCTAAGGCCAAATGCAGGTCTCCTGGCTTCTTCTATCCTTCCAGAAGTTTCTATCATGTCCTACTGGAAGCGTATAAAAATATATTACATTATGAAACACACTAATAAAGCAACTACCCATAAGCCCACTTAAAAACCCAGAATTTAATCTTTACATCTCTTTCCTCTCCTTCCTTCCCACTCCCAGGAGTAGCCCTAGTCCTGAATGTTAACCATCCCTTTGCCTTTTTAAAAAGTTTTATAACATACCGGTTATGGCCCTGTTTTGCCTGGTTTCAGCTCCATAAAAGTATCATACTTGATATATTCTTCTGTGACATGCTTTTTATCACTTAATCATGTTTCTAAGATTCATCCTTGCTGGCCGGTACATGACACCCGCTCACTGTCACTGCCATATCGCACTGCCTCAGATGGCCACGCCACAATTATCCTTTCAGTGCTGCTGTACACATCCTTATTCATGGCTCTATGCAGGGTTTTCACTAGAACAAATTCTCAAACTTGGCTGTACATTAGAATCATCTGGGGGATTTTCAAACACATCAGTGCCTGAGTCCTGCCCCAGAAATTGTTTGAAATCACCTCTGTCCAGGCATCTGCATCTTTCCAAAGCCCTCCAGGTGAGCCAGGGTCGATATAATATGCTAAAGAGGACAGTTGCCTATTGCAAGGTGTGCAAACGTCCAATTTGACAAGAGAATGCCAACCATTTTCCAAAACTGTTGAACCAACTCACCTTCCCCTTGACCCACATCCTTGCCAACACTTGTTTTATCGGAAGTCCTAAAAGGTTGAGGTGGGGGGAGAGGTGAATGGTATCTTGTGACCTAAGTTTGCATTTCCCTGGTCTTGTTTTCCTGGGGATGGGTCCCACTGACACACCAGAGCTGGATGCCTGAAATTGTGCAGCATTGGTACAACTCTGTCTCCTTTCTAGAAAGTCAACCCCCCCCCAATCACTACCCCCTCTTCCCACTCCCAGGTCCCATGAGACCGTGACTATCCATAGGCTGCTTTGCATGGTGGTATAAAAGGGAGGTCCCTTGACACCCCTGGCTGCTAGGCAATCACAGCGGTGGGGATTATAATGATCTCACATTTTACTCAGAGCTTCATAGTTTACGAAAGTACTTTTCTACCTGTTATCTCATTTAATCCTTAGAGTAACCCTCAAAGGAAGGGATCAACATTCCCATTTCACAGATAAGGAACTGATGGCCTAAGATGTGAGAAAATATGTTCAAGATGACCCAGCTAGTAAGTGCAAGACCAGGGCTGGAGCCTATAGGAGAATCCAAGGGCAAGAGGAACTAGACACTGAGCCTGGCAATGGCCCTGCTACTGGAGGTGTCCAGGCTGAAGCCAGCTGATTCTGAGGGGCCTCAAACACCAGCACCAGACTGTGTCTTTTAACTCTTAAAGACCCTTCTGAACCTCTGGTGCTTTGATTTTAACCACACACACCCCAAGTGGTTGCCACTGGTGACATCTGGGCTATTTTCAGATAAGTGTGACTTTCTTCCAGGTATTCTTCCGAGCAGGCATCCTGGCCACGCTTGAGGACATGCGGGATGAACGTCTAGCCAAGATCATGACGATGTTACAATGTCGGCTCCGGGGTTTCCTTATGAGGGTCGAGTTCAAGAAGATGCTGGAACGAAGGTAGCACACACAAACACCAATGGGGCAGGACCACTGAAGCCACACACATCCACAAGGAATGACCAGGGACCCCACCACACACACACTGGTCAGCTCCATTAGTGACATGGTGCAATGAAATGAGGGGAGGGTGCCGATGTCTTGGCTGGACCAAAGAACCCTGTTCGGGGGCTATATTTGTTTCCTAGGGCTGCCAGAACAAAACACCACAAACTGGGTGTCTTAAAACAACAGAAACTTATTTTCTCATAGTTATGGAGGTTAATAGTCTGAAATCAAGATGTTGGCAAGCCATCCTCCCTTTGAAGGCTCTAGAGGGGGTACCTTTCTTCTCTCTTCCAGTCCTGGTAGCCCCAGGCATTCCTTGATTGTGGCTGCATCACTCCAATCTCTGCCTCTGTCTTCATAAAGCCTTCCTCTCTGTGTCTGTCTTCAAATCATCTTCCTTCTTTTTATAAGGATACCAGTCATCTTGGGTCAGGGTCCCACTCTATTCTAATAATTCCAGTATAACTCTCCTTAACCTCAGTAATTTTACATCTGCAAAGACACTATTTCCAAATAAGGTCATATTCACAGACACTGGGGTTAGGACTTCTACATATTTTGGGGGAGGGGACACAATTGTACTCAGAACAGGGACCACCTAAAATAAACCCTTCTCCCTAAAGTGTGTAAGCTACTTTCACAGCCATCCCTTTACTTGATCCATATGATGATGATGCTGTGAGAGGGATGTGGGAGGGTCAGTACCCCCATTTTACAGATGTGGAAACTGAGGTCAGAGGGGCTACGGAACTGGACCAGGTTCATACAGAGTCAGGATAAGAACACAGAAATCCTCATTCCAAATCCCTGCCCTCAGAATCTTGGTTTTTAGCCATCTCCCTAAAACAGTAATTAGAAAATATCTCAAGCTGCCCTGCTTGACCTGTGGCTGACTCTGGCAATTTGTGGTCATGGAATTAGTAATAATAATAGTAATGGATAAATAATAACAATAATGAAGTCCTGATATCCAGCATCAGGCCCTCTGTGACCCCAGCTGAAGGCAGGAACATCAGTTAGGGGCTGAGTGGTAGAATGGCAGCCCAAGCCAGCCTAGGGCCTTGGTGCACAGGAAGTTGTTGGCAAATGACAATCAAATGAAAGTGCAAGGGACATGAAAGGGTGGATTCCAAAGACTGCTGATATATGGGATTTAGGGACTAATGGGTGATTTCCAGTGAGGGAGTAGAAGGAGAGGAAATGCAGGAAGAAATGAGTGGTCTCTCTTAGCTTTGTGCTGTCTAAGAGGAATGGTTCCATCAGGGAGGCCAGGTCCTAACACTTTCATTTTTACCCATGCAACCCTGAATTCTCTTTTGCAGAATTGGCTTGAAAGTCATCCAGCGGAACACACGCAAGTTCCTAGAGCTGCGTTTCTGGGGCTGGTGGAAGCTCTACAACAAGGTGAGGGCTGAGTGCCAGGCCAGTCAGAACTTTTGCTGTCTATGGGCTGGGAGCCTCAGTTCCAGACAGATAGAAGTGCCTTTTGGGGGTGGAAAGCCACAGGATGCTGCAAGGACAGTCTAAAAATGAAAGTGCCTTGGAGTTGGAGGAGTCTACCCTCCTTCCAGACAGGGGCTAATTCCTCCCTCAGAAAAATCATAGTGTCTTCCCACCTTTCATCTAATCTTTCAAAATAAAATACACTTAGAATGGAGAGGAACCCCCACACACACACTCCTCTGCAGAAAGTGGGCTTGGTTTGCAGTGCCTTGCCCCTGGGGGTTGAGGCATCTTCAACTCCTTTAGTGAAATCATTCTTGGCGTCAGAGCTTAGCGACAGCAGGAACTCATAAGATCTGATATCTCAGTTCCTAGGTTCTCCCAAGACAGCAGTGAGGGCAGTGTGAGACAGCCAGGTGATGGGGCTGCAGGTGCCCCAAGCAGCCAGGCACCCTCAGCCAATGCAAGAGGCCATGAACCATCCCATTGCATGCAGGTTGAATCACACCAGATTATGGTGTCACACCTGGGACCCCCACTGAAAGGAAACAACACTGGGCACCAGAGGAGGCCAGATGCAGGGCTGCCACATCCAGGAAACAAGAGAATGGTTGTCTCAAGGGGCAGCCATGTGGAGAATTAGGACAGGCTCTGGGTCATCTCTGGTAGCCCTGAGTCCCCCACAGCTCACACAGAAACTTCTTTCCCCTCCTGTAGAAAAAGTACTTTCAAACAATTGGTGCTGACCACACATTTAAAGGGAGAATAGTAAGTTCTGGATCACACAGGCCAGTTCTCAAGCATCTGAGACTGCAGAGGGTTCTAGATGAACATTTTCAAAGTCCAGTCATCACCAGTGGGGAACCACCTGTTCTATGACTGACCTTTTTTCTCTACATCAACTCATTTTTATTTTGAAATTTTTATTTTAAAAGGAAAGTTCATTTCCTTTACCTGCTTTAATCTCATCCTAAGCAAACGTTATCCATAAAAGTATGGATTTGACAAGTTCTTTTTCATTTTTCATTTTTTAAAATTATTTATTATGTTATTATTATTAAAAATTATTTTTTAAAGTAACTATGTAACTAATAATCAAAGGGTTTTGATGCAATGCTCGAATCCATCTCACCTGCTCCCTTTGTGTATATATTTCCATTTGGGAAGTGCCAGACCTACAGCCCTTTAAGGTCCTTTCAAGGAGAGCACAGGTGATCACAGATGACAAGAAGACAGAGCCTGGAAACTTCCCTGTTCTTTACTAGAAAGTAAAACTTCATTAATCAAACATGCAGGGCAAGGTCCTAGTCCAATGAGTAGAAACATGAAATAAAAATCCTTTACTCTTAGAATATTGACTAAATGCTAATTTTATTTAACTAAGCCAGGTAAGATGAGTCAAAGGAGAAAAATACTTTTTAGTAGAATTTCACTGAATAAAAAGTATGACAGAGCTGCAAGCTGTGGTGCTTACTATAACCTTTTTATGCAAACTTTGTCACTTTGGAGAACAGGCACAAGAGAGACAGCCAAAGAGACATAAAATGATAGAGAAACAAAGAGATGGAGACAGGGAGAGAAAAAGAGAGATAAATACAGAGACAGAGAGAGACAGAGATAGAGATAGGAAGAGAGAGAGTGCACGCCCAATAAGGGAGAAAGGCGATGGAAAGCAGAGTTGTGAATGTAGCCAGGGCTCCAAGCACACACAACTTACAGAACAGATGTAAACACTGAGTGCAGCTAGATGCTGAAGACCATCTAACTTCGTGTCTCTTGGGATCAAAGAGCATCCTGAGGATTGATCTTAAGCAAGGATGAGCCTTCCCTGTGAAGGCCAGAGAGGCTATGGCCTCTGAGGAAAAGGGCTCCTCCTCACAGCTGCAGCAAGAGTTGCTTTCCACCCCAGTGGGGATATGAGGCCCATCTGGCAGAGCCCACAGCCCACCTCCTAGCCCCCTGGGAAAGCCCATCTCCCTAACACTCTATGGTATTGCTCAGGTTAAGCCCCTCCTGAATGTGGCCCGGCAAGAGGAGGAAATGAAGGCCAAAGAGGAGGAACTGAGGAATGCCATGTCCAAGACACAGGAGCTGCTAAACAAGGTCAAAGATATGGAGGAGAAGGTGGCCACACTCAGCCAGGAGAAGAATGACCTCAACATCCAGCTACAGGCCGTACGTGGGGCCCTGAGGGAGGGACAGGAGCTGGGGGTCTTGGCAACTGCCCAGACCTCCAGGGTTGCTATGAGTCAGGCCCAGGGATGGAGGGAGGATGGGCCTTCTGAGAATCATGTGCCTCCAGACTACAGGGAATTTCCAGCCTTCTCTTTTGTTCACTGTAAAGTCAACCTTGACCCAACTACCAAAATGCCTCCATTAAATTCTTATTTGCCCACAGCAACAGGCTGGGCACGCACAGATATGCTGGGCCTGCGGGGATGGTTCAGACCTGGGACCACAAGATGTGGTGGGAGGAGACCCCACAGTGAGCCTGGTTCTGCTGTGGGACCTCAGAACTTGCCCTCTTTGCCTCCTTGCCTGTCAAGTGGAAACACAGCAGGGAGAACAAATGACCTAGTTTCCATGGGTGCCTAACTCAATGGTCCCCCTACCCCTGCACTCCAATATAATGACTACAGTCACTGCAGTGACCCTCCTGGTTTACCAAGGATCCTTCTCTGATTTGACCCTCACAACCACCCCTTAAGATGCCCAATTTTCACATGTATCCTACAGGGTAGAAAACTCAGCTTGACCAACATTTAGAGACTTCATCAAGGTCCCAAGCCCATCAGTAGAAAGCCCACAACTGGGAGGGGTTCGATTCTATCTTGGGTTCTTCCTGCTTAACATTGTTTCTTCATATCCTCTTAATACCCTGAGAAGTTTCTCAAGCTGAGAACCTTATTTTATGTTTGGGAAGACTGAGGCCGGTGAGACCATAGTAATAAAAAGATCTTTCATTTATTTCCATGTGTTACCTCATGTGTTTCATCCCTTTATGCCTCACAGTGACTGTTTCCTTTATTTTGCAGAAAAAAATCTGAATTTCAGTAAAGCTATGCCATGAACCAAAAGTCACATAGCTAAGCAGGTCTTCTGCTTCTGTGGCCAGTTGTCTTATACCATCGACCCCATCTTGGGGACACCCCAATGGGTTCCCCAGGTTGTCCTTCCTCTTCCACTTATTGCCTGTGACTTTGACAGCTCCACCTCTGCTAAAACCTTAAGGTGCATCTGATCACCTGGAACCTCCTAAAAATGCAGATTCAGATGCAGCAGATCTCAGATGGGGCCTGAGATTTTGCATCCTAACCAACTCTCAGGTGCTGCAGTTGGTATGGGGACTACGGTCCTAGACTTCACTTTGTTATACACATCACAAAGGTGCTCAGAGCTAGCCCAGCCCCTGTTTAGCCCCAAGACATACTTTAGGGGCCCATCAGCCCAAGGATTGTCCTCCATCTTGGTCCCCTGTGGGTGCCTGGACCCCTGAGTTTGACGGGGGCTCTTTCTTCCATCAGGAACAAGAGAACCTAATGGATGCTGAAGAGCGCCTGACTCAGATGATGAAAACCAAAATGGAGCTGGAGAGCCAGATCGGGGACATGCGGGAGCAGCTGGAAGAAGAGGAGGGCACAGCTGCCTCCCTGAGTGCCCACAAGCGCAAGCTGGAGGGGGAGCTGAGCGACCTGAAGCGTGACCTGGAGGGCCTTGAGACCACGCTGGCCAAGACAGAGAAGGAGAAGCAGGTGAGGAGGCCTTGGGCTCAACCACGCTCCTCTCAGGGTCAGGGAACCCCCAGCCTGCTCACCCTGCAGGGTCACAGCTAGAACTGCACAGCAATGCTTTCCAGGACCCTAGCCACCAGCCACATAAGGTTATTTTTTTAATCTTCACCTAAGGATATGTTTATTGATTTTAGAGAGAGAGGAAGGGAGAGAGAGAGAAACATCAATGTGAGACAGAAACATCAATGCGAGAGAGGAACATCGATCGGTTGCCTCCCACATGCACCCCAAACAGGGATCAAACCCGAAACCTAAGTACGTTTCCTGACTGGGAGTTGAACCACAGGCTTTTGGTATACGGGATGACGCTCCAACCAACTGAGCCACCCAGCTGGGCCACATGGGGTTATTTTAACTTAATTCAATAAAATTTTAAATGTGGTTCCTCAGTCAACCTAGCCACATTTTGACTGCTCAATAGCCACACGTGGCCAGTCCTACCATGTTAGACAAAGCAATCTGAGAACATGCATTGTTACAGAAAGTTCTTTTGGATAGAGCAGCTGCATGAGAGGGCCAAGAAAGCCATGACTGATGTAAGTGTGTGTGCTGCCTGCTGCTGGTGGGAGGGGGCCTGGGCACCCAGGCCAGGCGACCTGCCGGGGACCTGGCTATCCTAGGCATAGAAGGCCACCCCCTCCCCTCATGAGTCACTATGGAGTCCTGGCACCCTGCCAGTGGGGATGTGGTCCTTGCTTTGAGGAGACTGGAGACCACAGGAATATTTATAACCTACAGATGATCATGTGAGAGATTAGAGTGTGTGGCCTGGGCATCAAAGGAGCCATCAATGTGGGCTCATCTGGGCAGGCTTTTGGGCAAGGAGGAACATCAAACCAGCCTTGAAGGGAGGGTTAGTAAAAGGAAAATGGATGCTGTGCCCAGGAGCTCAGTGGTGGATGTTGGCGAGATGGGCTGCCAAGTGTTTTTACCCCCAGTATCCCTTTGGGTGCTCACATGGACCTTGAGTGGTAGATACTATGTATCCCACTTTAGGGCTGAGAAAATACAGATTTTTCTTATCAGATTTTTCTTTTCTCACACTTGACTGAAGTTCCAGGAGCTTGGGAACATTGTCAGTATAATTTGGTGGTATGTCCCAAGAGACCCATACACAGCACACAGTAGGCCCTCCATGAATATCTGTGGAATGAATGTAAGAACAAGTGGGCAAAACGACTAACTGAAGGTCACACAGGGGCTGGGTACGGACCTTCCTCTTCCTACTCTAGATCTGTGCTTTTCCCACCCTCTGTGTTATGTCCCTCTTGGAGGAGACAGCAAAGAGTTTGGCTGGAGAGTATCAGGCTGGTGTTCACAGGCTTGGAAGGCCTGGTTGTGCATGAGCCTGCCTCCTCCCCTTATACTTGGAAGGACATGGGAGCATGGAGACCCCTTCCACCAAACCCCAGCAGTGTGTCAGCGAGGTTCCTCAAGTCAACCACTTGGTCTTCAAGAGACTGGGAGACAAGGTTCCTCATCTTTCAAAGGTACTATGAGCCTGGATGCAGACCCAGCTCCAGCTCATGCTCTTCTGGTTTCTTACAGGCTGCCCGCATGGCAGAAGAGCTCTGACAAGAGCAGGACCACTGCATGCTCCTGGAGAAGATCAAGAAGAACTATGAGATCACCATCAAAGACTTGCAGGCCAAGATGGAGGAGGCTGAGCAGCTTGCTCTGAAAGGAGGGAAGCGCACAATCATGAAGCTGGAAACCAGGGTGAGGGCAACATTGAGCTGAGCCAGGAAAGAGAAAATGGAGATATGGCCAGGCTGGAGGAGGGCGGGGGTCTTTTCCCAAAAAACATGCCCAGCATTTGATGAGGAATTGGGTTTTTCCAGAGCTAGGAAAGAAAAGGAAATTGAGGCAATAGCTCAATTTATTTATACAAATGTCTCTTCTACTCCTCATCTCCCTGTTATCTCCCTCAGAATGTCCTTAGCCTCCAAGCAGAGCAGTTTCCAAAATTCTTCCTCTTTCTTTGTTCCTAGTCTTGATTTCCAACATTATTCCTCTCTTATCACTCACTTAAAACAAGCCTTAGTCTTTACTTCATGGAATGTTGGAGCTGGAAGGGCCCAGGAGGTTTGGTCACCTTTTCTGACCCCTAGTTCCCCCATTTCCCAAAGGAGGAAATTGAGGTTCAGGAAAAGTGACCATCTGACGACAGCAGGGCCTGACCCCTCCTGTCTAGGGCTCACCTGTTAACCTCTAGGTAGGAAGTGGACACTATAACCACAACACCCCTGTCCAAGGTCACTGAGCTCTGAAGTTCAAAACATACATTCCCTCAGCTGCATTCCTCTCTTCCTTCTTCAGATCAAGGAACTAGAGACAGAACTGGACGGTGAGCAGAAACAGCATGTGGAGACAGTCAAGACTCTGCGGAAGAATGAGCGTCGCCTGAAAGAGCTCATCTTCCAGACAGAGGAGGACCACAAGACCAACCAGCGTATGCAGGAGCTGGTGGAGAAGCTGCAGAACAAGCTCAAGGTCTATAAGCGGCAGATTGACGAGGCGGTAGGTGTTCACCACACATCTCTAATTCTCCCTTTCTTCCCAACCCAGGTCTCAAGCCTTGGTTAGAATTAACCACAGAAAAGGAATAAAGTATTGGCCAAAAGACAACTTTCATGAGTCTTGTATCCGTGGCACTTCATCCTCACTATCATGTGAGAAGTGGACTGGACACTACACACTGACAATAAGAATTTGTAAAAACTAAACTTATTCTCTAAGAACACCTGTGTTAACTGAAGTACCCATTGCAGGGTATGCTCTAAAACTGGGGAAGGTCTTAGCTCCCTTCGTCTTTCTTCCACTACCCCTGTGGCCTCTGCCAGGATAACCTCTCCCTCCTGGTCATACTGTTAAACACAAGGACCCATCCTTACCTGATCCTCCTGATGCAAGGAGGAAAGCTAATGTTTTTAGTCCATTTCACAGCTGAGTAAATCAGCCAATGTCGAGTATTTATGTTAATGCTATTCAATGTTAAAGTCAAAGCCAAATGGTTAGCAAAAGTGACTTCAAGTCTCAATCCTACACCACATGTCCACCTACCACCATCATCCAAGACATAGATATTTGACTCTGCTATCATTTTCTGCCAGTTCTGGGGCCACCATGTTGAATCCAGCAGCCACCCACCCACCCAGTGCCCTTCCCCAAAGGCTCAATAAAGGCTAGGCATACAGTAAATATAGTCTAAACAAAACAAGTACAACTCTACTAGTAAGGCAAGAGGATGGGAAATGTGTGGCAGTGGGTAGGGGAAGCAAGAAATCCACAACTTCCAAGTGGGGCCCCAATAACTAATGCCTAAAACCACAAAGTACAGAAGTAGCAACAGAGCACATTTTATTTAGAAATATGGACATCAAGGTCAAAATTAATCATCTAAAAGTGTTGAAGATAGTTGTCCATGATGAGCTGGACAATGATCATGACCCAGAACAGCTTTGTTTTGTAACAAGCCTTACAGAACAATTCCACTCGTAGGTGACAGTGCAGAACAGACAACAAAACACATCTAACCAGAACAAGCCGGGTTCACACCCCATTTTCCACTGTCTTTATTGTAGGAGGAGCAGGCCAACCAGACCTTGGCTCGCCACAGGAAGACGATACATGAGCTGGATGATGCTGAGGAGCGGGCTGGCATGGCTGAGACTGCTTTGAACAAGCTGCGCACCAGACACCGTGTGGCTGGCAAAGGCATCACCTCTGTGGAGATCATCCAGGTGTCCAAGTCAGCCTCCTCTAAAACCCTTTCTGAGGAGTGAAGTTCTCCATGTCCCAGTCCTCAGCCGGTAGGTGTGGATTCCACTCTCAACGGCTCGAAGTTCACCTTTCCTGCTCCTGTTTTGTTCCCTCAGATTTCTATGCTTCTTGGCTTCTATTCTGCCATGCCCTGATCTCACACACTGGGAACCCCAAAGCTTCCCCTATCCCTTCAGCTGCAACACTCCCACTCTAGAATCTGAAAGCTCTTGGGTATCTGTATCACAGGTGCTGGTAGTCATGATGCGTCCCCATCCGAGTGGAAGTTCATTGAAAGCAGGTTCCATATCTGGTGCCACTTGACAAATAGGTGCTAAGTACAAGCTTGTTTTCACTGGACAACCATACAGACATTTGCAAGCTTATAGGCAATATGTATTCATATTTCACATCCCCCGGAAAATCATTATTCTTGAGGATCTCATCAATACTGGTTGGATTTAGATATATAAATTAAGGAAATAATAATCACAGTACCATTTCTTGAGCACTGAGTGCAGGTAGAATTTTAGGGGGATAATTTAAAATAGTCCTTTCTTCTTTTCCTTAATTTAGAATCAATTAGAAAGAATACAGGAGACAAATATATAAAAGCGTTATTATGCTATGATTCTAGATTGAGAATTTAATGAGTGTCCATCATGGGCATCCTTGTACTTCACCCCAGAATTAAAGGTACCTATAGAACTGGGGAGCAGCCCCTATTCCAAGGGGAGGAATGACCAGAAAGCATCAACACTGCAGGTAGATCCAAAAGGAGAAACCAGATGGGATTCTTCTCTGCTTCCTGGTTCCTTCTTCCAAATCTAAGATAAATCATTCCTCTTCCCAGAAAAGAAGAAAGGGAAAGGCGGGGAGAGAGACAAAGAACATTATTCTAGAGTAATCATCCCCAAAACATGGTCCTTTGGACAAGCAGCAACATCAACATCACCTGGGAAGTTATTAAAAATGTAAATTCTTGGGCTTCACTCAGACCTACTGAATTAGAAGCTCCTGGAGGTAGGCCCAGTGTCTGAGTTTAATCAGCCCTCCAAGTGATTCAGATGTATGAACAAGTTTGAAAACCAAGTGCTATAGCAGAAATCACCCCTTAGAGAAACACAGAGCCAGGGAACAGAGGTTTCTCCTACTTTTACAAGAGCCAGGCACATGGAATATGTTTTTTACTCTTATGTATTCTGTGAAGTAGGCATAAATATCTCTTTTAGGTGAGGAAAAGAAGCGCAAAGAAATTCAGTGACTTGCCCATGGTCATCTAAGCCTCCTAAGACAACACAGGCAAGCTCATGGTGAGCACTGTATCCCAGGGGACCACACTCTGGTCCTCTCAATGGCCTGTGTGGAGTTCAAGCCTTCTTGAGCATGCCAAGTCTAAGGAAGGTTTCTCTAAACCATCACAACCTTACACAGAATGAGCCAGGTATGACCCAATGGTGTCCATAATGAGGAAGGATGCCTGTGTAGAAGCAGCCCAGACATTTTTCTAGCAAAAAGGGGCAAATATGTCAGAACTCCCAGTTCTGTCCCACAAGGATTTTCTCATCCCCTCTCTTTCTTTTGTCTTCTAGGGTGATACAGATCTCAACAACAGACCACTGAGATCAAAAATATGTGAAAATGGAAAACTGGGTCTTTCTGAGAATGTTTACTATGCAAAGGAAAGTGCAAGCCAGAAAGAGTCAGGTGCTAAAGAATAAAGACAGCTGTGGAGGAATATGGGTTTGGGAATGTAAATACCCAGCCATTAGAGGAATAACTAAAATTAGCAAGGCTTCCCTAAGACTGTATCAAGCTTATAATCACTTGGAAAAAGTAATATTGCGTCTGTTTCAGTTGAGATCCTACATGTTCATGTCAAGGACGGAATATGTAAAGTCTATGTGACCTGGCTGTTCTCTAGAAATAATTCCTCACGTGGACAATTTTAATGCCTTGTCCTAATGCAGTTTAAATAAAAGAAATATGAAAAATAAACTGACTGGAGGTTATTTTTAAGTGAAGAAATTTTATTTTTCTAAGACATCCAAATCCAAAGGCAATTTTTACAATATATTAAGAGTTCTGTTGTGTCCCTATATCCTAATTCACAGTCTGGTTTCTACTGAAACCATGAAAACTATGCAGTCTTAGTGATGTTCTTGAAAATCTTGAGAGGGTAGTCTCAGAGATATGAAGACAATCTAAGTTTCATAAAGTTCAGGAAGTTATGGGATCCACTGAAGGGATGTTAAGATCCATCCTAGCTAATGATACATGGGGCCTCTGAGTGGTCTACCTCACCATCTTCCAAAATGTTCAGACATAGGCAGGTCAGCTCCATGAGGGCAGATAATGTTGTATGTTTTACTCACTGCTATATCCTCAGCAACTAGAGAGTGCCAGGCCTGAAGTAGGCACACAGTAAATATGTGTGGAGTGAATGAATGACGGAGAACGAGTTGCCTCCCAAGGTGTCCTTCTAGACATTGCCAGAAAGTTCTTCCTTAAATCAAGCTGAGATCTGCCTTCTGGTGGTATCCCCTTGCTAACCCTGGTTTTGATACCCAGGACCCTGCAGAGCAACCTTAATGAAAAATAGTTCTCATGGTCTCTCCAGGTTTTCTCTTCTCCAGGCTGAATACTCCTGGGTCCTTCAACCATTCGAGTGTGGCAGGGTTTCTGCTGTCACCTTCTAACACTACTCGACCCTGTTCCTCTCCTCACTTTCCTAGTCTTCAGAGAGCAGGGGTGGAGGGGACAACACTATAAAGGCTCCTTGCCAGTTCACAGCCCTCAGAATGCACCTGGAAATGGTGTCTTCCCTTTGACTACTGGCACTCTGATGTCTCTCCAATTCATTGGCAGACAGAAATCATTGTTTGGGCTGATAGAGGAAGGGATAGTAATATTCCATTGGTGGATACCTCTCCATCTTCACACTGGCTCATATCACCCTTGTAATGGTTCTAAACTTGGTGCTCTCTAAGCAGTTACAGAGAAAACCACATTTGATTCCGTCTGTGAAAATGGAACAAGTGTGAAGACACTGCCCTCTGGTGGTAGGGTCTCCAACTGCTGTATGTGAATTTCCTGGGAGACACCAACTCACAGAATCTTAGAATTATATTAGAATTTTAGGGTTCAAAGGGACATTCAGAGGGTGTCTAGTCCAACTCCCAGGCAATTGGGAATTCCCCTCCATAATATCTCCATAATAACATTTTAACATTACTTTAAATGAAAAAAATAAGAATGCATTCACCATCTGTCCAAAAACTCCAAACAATTTCACTAAAACCCTCTTAAACACCTATAAAACAATTCTCCAAACATTTCTGCATAGTATAAACATTTTAAACACTAACTACCTAATTATTTAACACTTAACTCCATAGTGATTACATTTACAAGCAGTACACGAGATATGCACTAAACTGGATGAAAATTAAATATTCCCTTTAACCCGCAACAAACATGTACTACAAAGCAAATAAACACTATAATTATGTGTTAAAGACATACAATTAATGCAAGAGGACTTATCAAAATAAAATAGATAAACAGTAACTTTTAAAAATGGTTACTTACCACCCTGGCCAGGTAGCTCAGTTGGTTAAAGCGTCGTCCTGATACTCCAAGGTCGCAGGTTGGATCTCTGGTCCAGGCATATACAAGCAGCAGCTAATGAATGCATAAGTGAGTGGAACAACAAATTGATGATTCTCTTCCTCTCTTTCTCTCCCTTCCTTTCTCTCTCTCTCAAATCAAAATTTTTTTTTTTAATGGTTATTTACCAAATGATTCTGGTAATCAAGGGCTAGGGTGATAGACAACTCTCTCACTAATGATAACTAGAAAAGTGGATAAAATACACAAAACATCTACTCAAAGATAAGAGAGAGCTAATAAGGTAGTGAATACCAGGTCAAAACCTAAGAGAAAAGAGAACATCAGAGAGTGAGCCCAGCACTTTAGGATTGCTTTACCCCAAGGGCTATTTGCTGATTCCAGAATAGATGGTTGAGAGCCTGAGCAGTGCTTTTAACAACCTAAACTACAGAGATAAAAGTTGCCCTGGGCCCTCCAAGGACAAGGGTCCTGTTAAATATCTGTTGTATTAGTCAGGGTTCTCCAGAGAAATAAAACCAACAGGAGATTAGAGAGATAGACAGAGACAGACAGAGATGATGATAGATGATAGATGATAGATTAGATGATAGATAGATAGATGATAGATGATAGATAGATAGATAGATAGATAGATAGATAGATAGATAGATAGATAGATAGATGATAGATGATGATAGATAGATGATAGATAGATAGATAGATAGATAGATAGATAGATAGATAGATAGATAGATAGATAGATAGATGATAGATAGATAGATGATAGATAGATAGATAGATAGATAGATAGATAGATAGATAGATAGATAGTAGATAGATGATAGATGATAGATAGAGATAGAGATATGCAAGTAGATATAAAGAGATGTTATAAGGAGTTGACTTACATGATTAGAGAGGCTGGCAAGTAAAAATTCAGCAGAGCAAATGTCCCAGTTCAAGTCCAAAGGCCAGAAGCTGCTATAGAATCTGAAAGAGCCAATGTGCCAGTTCAAAGACAGGCAAGAGGAATTCTCTCTTACTTGAGGACATCAGCCTTTTGTACTATTCAGGTCTTCAACTGATTGGAAGAGGCCCACCCACATTATGGAGGGTAATCTGCTTTATTTAGTCTACCGATTAAAATGTCAATCTCATCTAAAAATACTCTCACAGAAACACCCAGAATAATGTTTGGCCAAATATCTGGGCATCCCCTGGCTCAGTCAAACTGACAAATAAAATTAACCATCACATCTGTGCTTTGGGTGGGGACACTAGGAGTAAGGATGAATTAGAAAATGAACATTCTTCCCAAGGACAGAAGTCCAGTTTTGAGTCATCTGGATGGCCTAGAAAAATCTTAAATCCTAAAATTAAATTAATGCGATCCCAGATTGCTGACACCCTCAGGCACCTGGAAAAATGAAAATGAAAATCTTATCTGGGCAAAGATACAATCATTTTAGATCTCAAATTATTCCTACACAATTTTT